GCGCCATGTTAACCCCTATGGCGCCACTTTTTGAAACATGCTTAGTGGGGTAGCAGCCGCTACGTTACTGGCCTCTAGAGACCTGAAAGCAAGATCCCTTAGTGGGCTTTTCCCTCTCCACTGATGATTCCCAGTTTGTAGAGTTTTGCTGGGAAACTTCCCCAGCCAGGCTGATTTAGCCCTCTAGCTCCCTAGGGGAGACCAGCCCCACATGGTCAGCTCTGCTCTGGCTGCTAGTCCAGGGCTGCTGTCTGCTGGGAGTGTGTCTGGACGCTGGGCTAAGAGACGACAGTTTGGATTTTAGTACAGTTGTGTAATCTGTACCTTGAGCCCTGCATCCCTTTGTGGTGAGGGGAAATCCTGGGACCGAAGCAGCCTGACTCCTGCCTAAAGAAGATCCCTGTGAGCAGAGATCAGCCCCTCTGCAGTGACTGAGGTGTCCAGAGTCATATCTGAACCTGAGGATCATTCATGGAGTTTGTGAGTGCACCATCCTTTAGTCAGTCAGTCAGGGAATTGGTTTTGGGGACCCCCTACTCCCTGAACTGTGTCCTCAAGCCAGGGAGTGAGGGTTTGGGGATTTTATAACCTGCTGCATATTAAACCTGTGGAGCGATTTACCACCTTCTCCCACTTGTGAGTCCTTTGGGCTGTACTGAACCCCATCAGCCACACTGCTAAACCACCGCAGAGAAGAATTTTGTGGTCATAGGTCATCAAGGGCCCCAACAAAGTACACATAAAATCATGAGTAATGTGGAGAAAGTGGATAAGGAAAAGTTATTTACTTATTCCCATAATACAAGAACTAGGGGTCACCAAATGAAATTAATAGGCAGCAGGTTTAAAACAAATACAACGAAGTTCTTCTTTACGCAGCGCACAGTTAACTTGTGGAACTCCTTACCTGAGGAGGTTGTGAAGGCTAGGACTATAACAGCGTTTAAAAGAGAACTGGATAAATTCATGGTGTTTAAGTCCATTAATGGCTATTAGCCAGGATGGGTAAGGAATGGTGTCCCTAGTCTCTTTTTGTCAGAGGATGGAGATGGATGGCAGGAGAGAGATCACTTGATCATTGCCTGTTCGTCCACTCCCTCTGGGGCACCTGGCATTGGCCACTGTCGGTAGACAGGATACTGGCTAGATGGACCTTTGGTCTGACCCGGTACGGCCATTCTTATGTTCTTATGAGTACCAATGGGACACTAATCTTACATTTGCTACCTCAAGTCACATGACTGGGGAAAGTCACGGGTATTATCAGAGTGGGCACCGGTGACCCTAAAAATAATGTTTTACCCTGTTATGTTATATTTGCCTCCTGTTTAATATAATTATTGTGTTGAATATATTGTAATTATTTCTTGGAAGTCTCCAACTATCTGGCAAGTAATTGGGGATTACCCTGTGGTTAGAGTTTTCCTCCCAAGCTGCCCTGGTGACCCTGCCAGGAAGGAGCAAGGGGAGTGGAGGCACCGCCAAATAAATTCATACACCCTGCTGAGTGGGTGGTGGGATCCAGAAGAACCCAGACCTGTCCATCAAAATCTGTAAGTGGATTGGCATTAAAGAAGGTAACCGGAGAGGGGGCATTACACACCCAAGGCAGGAAGGTGCCCACGACAGCACAGCAGAAAGTGGCACAGAACAGAAAGTTACCAACTGAGGCCACCACTTTTAAAATGTCTTTTTACTCCAAAGCTTTAATCCCTGCTAATGAGCAATAGAGTGGGTGTTTATAAAAATCCTTCTGTGTTTCTGGATTTCCCCAACCCAGTGACCTCTGGAACTGCACATGAGTCTAAGAGCTAAAAGACAGTGAAAAGTCGCTACAGATCTGAGGCATTTACTCTCCCCAGACCTGCTGTATCGGGATACTGCAGGTTTTGCAAACAATTGTTCTGATTATGAATATAACTAAATCAAGACAACACACACACACGAGTTTTTCCATCCCTTCATGGAGCAGAGGTTGGCCTCACTGCAGACAGGAGGGTGGGGAAGGGGTGACTAACAGTAGGACGCTGGTTTGATGAGGATGGCAGAGGCTTGGCACTTCCCACTACAGAAACTACCCCGAGTGATGCTCCCTTTGACATTCAGTCGAACAGAATAACAAGCCAAGTATCACCAGCCCCCACCATAGCTAGACACACAGTTCCCACTGGAAGCATCCTGATCCAGGTCTTTAGCAGAGAACTTCATGTTGTCATGCACGGTGGTAGGATTGTTTGAAGTCATGGCATCCCCTGCAGTCCCAGTGTAAGAGCCCAGCCTCAGCCTGTAGCCTTTGGGCTCGTCTTCCAGACCGAAGAGGTTGTAGTCTGCGTATTTCATGGTGCCGGATGAATCGTGGATGACAAACCTGACCTGGTAGACCTTCTGCTTGGCGATCTGATAGATGTACTCTGTCCCCAGCCAGTAGTGAAGGACATAAATCCACACCGTGTAGAGGTCAAGCATAGGAGTTTATTACACACAGCGCTGGCAGAGTGTCCCCTGGCTTATTAGGCTCAGAGACACTGTCAATCAATTGATTACAATAGAATATATAGATTTTCCATGGGCGGGGGAAAGTGACGGGGTAGGCAGTTCCACATCCCGGGATAGGTTTTACAGCAAGACAAGATAGCACATTAGCCAATGGTTAAAAGGTTACATAATGTCTCCGCCCATAGTCTCAAGTTAGCAAGTTAACATTTAATTAATACTTTGATAAAAGGTTATTAGTATAAAATATATATATATATATGTTGAATTCTGATTTGGGGTCCATAGGAATGGAGCAACTCCTTTGATTGTCCAACAGGTACAATCCTAGGGGTTAAAGCAAAGAAACAGTGAAAGGATATGATAATACAGATTGTCTTAAGGCAGGGCATTGGTCCCTGTGACAGGGAGGTGGAAGGATGCCATATCTTTATACTGACATGTGCCAATTTCCATACACTCAAGGTTGGATCTGTGGGAAGAACGTTCCCTACAGAAGAGACTGACTCAATAGGAACAGGGATCCTTTGTTCAATTTGAAACTTTGAATAAGACACAATTATTCAGTTATTGCTTCAACATCTGGCATTTCTACTGACCAAGCAGATCTTAGCAAAGGCAATGTTCTCTTGTTTACCCCAGCTTTCTCTTAGCTGATCACTATTAGCTAGGCCTCTGGTCTCTTAACCATACTCTGGACTTCGGGTCTGGAAAAGAGCTGGCACAATCCATATACCAGGTTGTTATATAAAATGCACATGGATTTTAACCCTTCAAGTAGTCATCCTGCACGTTGCCAAAGCCGTACTTGTAGGTGCTCCAGGACTCAGCCCAGGTGATCTGTGTGTCGTGCCGGTTCCGCTGGAGGACCGTCCAGCCCTCGCTGGTGCTGTTCAAGTCACAGTAAACGACAATCTGGTGGAATCCTGTGGGCTGGATGACAAAGACACCACTGACCCTGTTCCAGGTTATCTCGCTGCAGTCCTTGGGCCAGACTGTGCACAAGAGAGAGATCGCTTTCACTAAACCCCGTGGAACAGAACCCTGCTCAGCTCTTCCCACCCTGGGTCAGTGAGAAAGGGCCCCTCCGGTGTGCCACAGACAGCAGTGTCTGCACTGACACCCCGCATGCTTTGCCAGCCCATTGTCAAAGAGGCTTCAACAATGGATGCAGACACTGAGCCCGAACCTGCTGGCACAGCCCTGGCATTAGGTCCTGTCACCCACTCCTGGGCAGTTTATTCTCTAACTAGCTACTTTGCATCAGTACTGGATTTACGATGGCACCACTGGCACCATGGCACTGGGCCCACACTCCAAAGGGGTAACCCTAAGGTACCTTAGTCCGAAGTGGGGGGTTAGTGTGGACCAGGCCAAAGAGTCACCTGGTCATCACCTGGTTGCATCCCCCTTCTGGGTCTCAGGTTACAAAGGGCACCAGTCATAGGATATGTGCAGGCAGCTGGAGCAGCCTCACCTGCCCCAGAGGTCTCAGCCAAAGTCACACATCCCTATTTCCACCACCGAGGTATTAGGGCAGTATGCAGGGAAACTGAGGCACACACAGTATTCATGCAAACAGTAAAATTCACATAGGCTCAACAGTAAGACCCACATACAACATAACAAGGGAAAATCCCCACTTCGTCACACTGACGTTTTAGATTCCTGCTGCCTCTATCTTGGTGCATCATTTCACTCCACTTCTCTATACTAGCCTATCTTTTTTTCTTTCTCTCTATTCTGTTCCAAGTCTGGCCAGCCTTAAAAATGACTCAGCGCTGTTATACACTGTACTCGGCACCACAGGCTGAAGCAACATGAGCAGCATCTCTCTGGGAATGAGAAAGCTAGAGTGAGATGTTCTCCCAAGCCCATTGCGTGAGTCAGGATCCAGAGGCCGAGAGAGTGAACTGTCCTTATGTCCTGCCTGCAGCATCTGAGACAGAAGCTTCTGTTCTTTTCCATCCCTCCTGGGTGGCTGCCATGACAGCAGTGCTAATCTTAACAAAAATGACTGTGGAGCTGCTATTCCACATTTAACGACCTTTCCCATTCCTCCAGAAAAGCTATTTGGGGGCAGATCCAATGGAGCTATGGCACCAGCTGAGGGTTTGCCTCTTATTGTTAGCAGATTTGGGGCATGATTTTCCTCACTTACACTGTTGTAGATCAGCATTAACTCAGTGGAGTTGCATCAGTCTGAATGAGAGGAAAGTTGACCCATGCAGATGAGCTCTTTCTTAATGAGACAGAGACAGAGAGAGAGAGAGGTTGGCAGGAAGGGGAACTGGAAAGGAGAGATAGTAATATGTATCCAGAACAGCAAGAGATGAGTGTCAATCTCATTTTCTTTCTCTGAGTGACCTTGGCACCAAGTGCCCTGCTCTTCGCTGACCTTGGCTCTTATCGTCCCAGGCTTGATGTGACCTTCCTGCTTTCGAGGCTTAAGCTTCATATTCTATCAGTCACCATTTCTTTCCCCTTTCCTTTTGTCCTATTTTAATGAGCAAAGCACTTATGCCAATAGGCGGAGGAAGCAATTGCCCTGAATGGGGAATGAAATTTACCAGGCAACCACAGAGATCGATTCTGGTCTCATTTACACTAGAGTCCCAACATTGGCGTCCATCGAGTTTCTCCTGTTTTACACCAAACATGAGAGCAGAAACAGGCCCTTTGCCTCCCCTGACACTGTTCTTCCATGATTAGCCCTGCTCCTTATCTTGGGATGGGGGAATGTGGGTCAGTCCAAGAGAAAAACCACATGCAAAAGGGGTGGAAAATGTTCACAAGTCAGAGTGGTAGGTCTTCGCACTGATGTACATATAAATGATGACACAAGGTGCAGGGCTCACCATTAGCCAACTGGAAAGGGAATTTTAGGTGGGCAGAATACAACTACCCAGCCTGGAATTGGTTCAGAATATGGGATTACTCAAAGGCTTGTTTTATTCATGTGCTCTTTTAAAAATCCTAACACTTGGTGTTTGATAGCACTTTATATGCTCAAAACACTGTAGAAGCATTAGCTCTTTTTATGATCTATAAAGAAGGTCTGAAAGGTTGGGTTATTTTAAGATTACACCCCTCCCCTTTGCCTTGCTTTCTGGCCTAGGCACCATTTTTGTACCAATTGAACAATTTAATTTAGGGGAGTGATTTTAGAGCTAAATAGTTACACCGGTAAAAGCCCTAAAGTGGATGCCATTATGCTGGTATAAAGGTGCTTGATATGGGTATCAGGAGTAGCTATACCCATATAAGCTCCTCCTGTATATACTGATATAACTGAGCCCATAGTGTGGAGTTGTATGGCTGTAATTGTACCGGTACAATAAAAGCCATACAACTTTCTAGTGTAGACAAGCCTTTAGTAATATCCAGGGTGTCAAATTTAGTCTCCCCTGGTTTTGTTAGTTGCAGTGAAGTTCACTGTGAGCCCTGACACCTTACTGGAAGAGGTGGATGTGCAATCCTGAAGAAAGGTTTCCTTTACCAAACATGTAAATCAGTCATTGCAATTAAACACGTGTGGACAGGCCAAGTGAAAATCGAAGGGTGACATTTTTGTGCTGAGTCTCTCAGGGTCTGTCCACACTGCAGCTGAGGGTACGTCTTCACTACCAGCCGTATCGGCAGGTAGCAATCGATTTATCCGGGATCGATATATCGCGTCTTGTTAAGACGCAATATATTGATCCCCGAACACGGTCACCGTCAACTCCGGAACTCCACCAGAGCGAGCGGCGGTAGCGCAGTCGACGGGGTAGCTGCGGCCGTCGATCCCGCGCTGTCTGGACCCCAGGTAATTCGATCCAAGATACTTCGACTTCAGCTATGCTATTCGCGTAGCTGAAGTTGCATATCTTGGATCGATCCCTCCCCCAGTGTAGATCAGCCCTGAGTGAGAAGTGTGATTGCAGCGCATGCAGACATACCCAAGCTAGCTTTGTTCTAACTACAGGCAGGATGCAGGGGGCTTAAGGTGTCTTTAAACCACCTTTGTGTCCTCCTGACTAATCTGGAGGCTGGAGTGGCCCCAGCATAATTTAGATGGTGGAGGGGGAGGGGGAGGGAAGATGTTTCCTAAATTATGGCAGCTTCTCGGGGCTGCCTTGTGGGCTGCAGCACTGCCCAAATCTGCACAGGACTGCATGGTGCAGCCCAGCCCCTGACACGACCCTCCCATCCCCGACACCCCCCCCAAGGCTTGAGAGGGAGTCCTTGGGAAACAGCCTTATCACCGCCTTCTTCAGTTCCTGCGCCCAGGGAATTCTTCGCCAGCCAGAACTGGGGCTTTTGAACAGGGGTGCTGGAATCAGTTTTCTAGTGGAGGTGCTGAAAACCATTGAACAAACTACAAACCCTGTATATCAGGGGTCCCCAACATGGTGCCCCTCGTGGCATGGTACCCAGGCAATTGCCCTGCTTGCTACCCCCTAATGCCGTCCCTGGCTTTTATATGCAGAAAACCAGTTGTTGTGGCCCAGGTGGGCCGTAGAGTTTTTATAGCATGTTGGAGGAGCCTTGGAAAGAAAAAGGTTGAGAACCCCCGTCCTGCAGTCTGTTCAGTACTGCTGTGTCTAGCCTGCTTTTTTGCAGACTCAGATGATGGCAGGGGTTTCAAGCACTTCCCTTTAGCAGGGTGAAGAGATCTATCCAAGGGGTCAGAACAGCTGATAAGCCTTTTGATTTTGTTTTTCCAGATCTTATTTGAACCCCCCCTTTCTGACCTGGAAGTGGGCCACCATCTCTTGGAGGTGAGGCATTAGTAATGAGAGCACACTGACTGCTAGCTCATATAGACAGCATAGCTTTCTTCCACACATTCCTCTCCCAGGAGCCTGAAATGCACACGACCTGCAGATAGCCCCCCTGCCCCCCCAGTCCCAACCAACAATATGCACTCCTGACCCTCTCCACCTGCTCTCTTGATGTGCATTTGTGTATGTCTGCTCTAGATGACCGGTGTAAAACTCCATTGGTTTTACAGC